ACATGCATGTCTGCAAGCATCATGTCTTCGCAGTGCCGCAGCCTTACTTGCTTGAGTTGACCTTGCTGTTTGTTCGGTTGCCATGCAGTTGTCGGCCGAGTTTGTGAATAACCTGGTGGCGGTACTCAATGTCCTTGCATCCCAAGTTGCGACAGCTCTGGACACCCTGAACTTTGCCCTGATGACCGAGCGTAGCCATCCGTCAGATACTATAGTGACTCCCAGGGCACCACGGAACTCCAGACATGGGCTGCGCCCTCGCATCATCACAGAGCGCATTTCGTCTGACCGATCCCGTTCTCCCACTCGAATTCGAGCCCGACCTTTGGACACGTCATACACCTGGTACATACCGGCCTTATCCCCGCCTCGTGCGGCACATCGGGATGCTACTGACAACAATTCTGGTCTTCGGCCTGAATCGATGTTGGATCACCTGCCACCACCTCGGCCGCTTGCTCCCTTAGCCACACACGGTGGCCGAGAGCCTGGGCAGATGACGCCTACGACACCTGACTCGGATTCTGATGGCTCGGTGCGTCCACATCCAGGTGCCTCGTCGTTCCGGCCGTCTCCTACGGTGGTTCATGGTCCTCGGGAACTTCTACAAGAATTCACCATTGCACTTCGCAATGCATACCGCGAACCTTTCACGGCATGGACACAGGGTGAGCTGGATGAGATGGTGCGACGGAAGGAAGACAAGGATTCCAGGCCCACCTATAAGACCATTGCTCGGTTCCTTCAGAAGCCCATTGAGGAAGTCAAGCAGGCATGGAAGGTCTATCAGCAACTTGAGGCTCGCGGCTAGGAACCCGGTCATCAAATGCAACAGCGACCACCGGAGGACTAAATGGTAGGCCGTGGCGGCGTGTTCGGCTAGCGCTATTGATCACATGAGATTTGCTTGCTTGCACTTGATTGCCATTTTACTAGGAAATATTGCTTGCCGTTTTTGGGTGTTGCCGCTGACATGAAATGAATTCATGACTGAGTTGCTCAAATCATGTCGGAACAAGTTGTACAGACGTACATTACCTAGACCCATGGAGCGCAGCCGACGTGGTTACAATTTCACGGACCTGGAGCCCTACTTGACAGACCCATTCGGCAGACTACGTCACCTCCGCCCCCGCCAAGTTTCCCACTGCTTCTTCCACCTCCTCCTCCTCCACCGCCACCACCACCGGTGATTCTACACCCACAGTTTATGCCCTCAGTACGGAGCCCCTCGATCTCAGCTCCTCGCGGACAATCCTGCCCTGCCACTTCGAAATCGCAGCGCACACGCCGCTCGATCTACAGCACTGACCATTCCCGTGATGAAGAGCTACACAGTCCAGGGCGCTCGTCCAAACGATCTCGGACAGCATCCGCTTCGGCACCGCGGCGATCTCGGCGGCCCTTTACAGTGTTCCCCTCCAAACGTGCTGGCCGTCCATCGCTGTCACCATCGGCAAATTGCAAGCATTACTGTCATGCCATCCTACGCCATGGGCGGAAATGTCTTTCCCCTTGTGATCGTAGACGACCAGGACATTACCATTGCAGGTGTGCGCGGCATCAACGGCGGTGAAGCCTAGGAGTCGTATATTACAAACCTCGCTGCTGTGTCTCACCTTGAGTTTGAAAAGTTGCCTTTCTCTCCATCAGCTGTGCGCGGTTGTCATTGCATGTGTGTCTTCGCCGCAGACTTTCGATTGCTTTTAGCGGCCGCGCGAGAGCCTGTCTTGCCGCTATGAACCCTCAATATTTCGAGTACCAGATCGACAGAGGAGTGGAATGGATTCGAATCTACTCTCCGGGCATTTGGAGACCCGTTCCCGATGATGCTCCAGTGCTGGACCCACTCCACGCTTCCACGTATCGGGAGTGGCGCAGGTCATATCGCTTCCAAGTGTACTGGTCCGAAGACAGCACCGGAGGCACAACAACGGATCCCATAGTCACGCCCAGTTCCTATGTGTCCTACCACGTGTGGGAGTACCGAGACTGGCAAACACGAGGGTATCAACGACTTGGAGCTCCTTTACCGGCCATTGGACTCGCGATGCTCGTGAATGCAGACGCCAATTCCTCGGTGGGCTCATCGGTGCCGGATGGGGCGTGGCGAGAGCCGTCGCCGCCACCAATCTATGATCCTTGGAACGATTCGGAGTGACACTGGAGTAGCATGTCGGATAAATGACGCGGTTGTGCTTGCTTTGTAAGAGATTCCATGTTGGGTTGGCTTGCTTGGTGTTGTGCGTTCCGTCTCCATTTGTTCGCCGCTTTCCTTTATGACTTCGAGTGGCTTGTCGGGTTGAAATGTTCAATTGTACAGTGTATGGCGCAGCACGATGGGTCCTGCCTCGCTACTTTGACTACGACATCGTCAATGGCCCAGCGAACACGAGTGTAGAATGGATTCGGATCTATGTACCGGGTCCGTGGCATCCAGTCGCCGCGAACACCTTGGGACCAGCCCCGGATGACTCAACCACCTATCGGGAATGGCGCAAGGTCCACCACTTCGAAGTGTATTGGCCGAGGGAAAGCACAGGCGGCACCAATACAGGCGCTGTTTCGCAACCGGTATCTTATGCATCCTTCTATACTTGGCATTACAGAGACTGGGTCACCAGGGGATACCAACGTCTGGGTCGCCCACACCCTAGCATCGCGCGGCCAGTTTTCGCTTCGGGCGCACCGGACCTCATGTATGCTGGACTGACCTCTTCATCGGCATCCTCCAACTCAGATGATGACTGATGCTCGTCCTTGCCTTCCTGGGGAGTCTATTCAGGTCAATTCGATTCGGGAGATTGTCTTCGATACCGGAGCCGTGCAGTGCTGCAAAAGTGATTTCTTGCATTGTGGCAGTTGTTTCGCTTTCAATCATGGTTGTCTGCAGCCGTACACAATTTGTCTTTCCGGGGTTGCGTTGTCATGCCGTGGCTGGAATGGTGTCCGGATCCTCAACAACCAGATGCCCAGTGGGTCAAGATCTTTCATCCGGGATCATGGACACCACATGAAGAACATGATGCTCCACCTCCACCGCACACGTATAGAGAGTGGAGGGAGTTCTATGCTCCCAACCCGGACTCAGTCGGTGAGCAGGTCAAAGTCACCATGTGGTACAAAAGAGACTGGGCCACAGAGGGCTACCGGAGAGTCGCTGCCCCTCAAGCTGGTCATGAATTTGATTCCATGTGTTTTCCTGATCATCACAGCGTGGCCACGCAATCTGCGGCATTGAGTATGTCACCGCAGCTGTTAGAAGCGATCCTCAGGTCCTCGGATGCGGCCGATTTCTCTACCGAAGAACTGACTCGTCTCCAAGAGGGGATTTCTCAACAACTGACAGCTCGCGCACGTCACGCTTCCCAACCTCATCAACCAGTACGTGCATCGCGTGGAATCACACCATCGGAGACGGTTGGGGTCTCCGAGCCTTACCGGCCCGTGAATCCTTCCGACAGCGGCAAGGACAAGGCGAGTCCCATCTTCGAGCTGACTGAGGATTAGACTCACGCGAGTGGCACAGCATACAAAATAAGGGTGGTCTTTACATTTGCATGACCTTGCTTGGTTGTTGCTTGTACATGGTTGTGCATGGTGCCTGTTCCTCTATCAGCTGGATCGGAGCCCGCGACACGCCTTGCCTCTTACTTTGACATGGACATCGATGATTCGAAGCAGCACCCATGGCTCGAATACTCGGTCTGGCAGGATCAGGAGTGGGTGCGGATCTACACTCCAGGACAGCCTCAGCGATGGCACCGCGGTGATACTGTACCTGATCTACCAGACAATTCTTTTCGGGAATGGCAGCGGGTGACTGATCCCAATGGGCGCACTGGTGAGCACGGTCATCCGCGACTGGCAGCATCAGGGATACCAGCGCATTCTGTCTCGAACGGAGTCCTTCACAACTCATTATCCGCATGATCAATCTCTTGGTCAAGTTCGGAATTCCGATGCCATTCCAGTTGAGGAGACGTTCACCTACGCCACCCCGTTTTCCCATGGTGATCGCCAGGCTGCTTCACAACTCGCTTCAGTCCTCTATGGCGACACTCGTAATGCTCAACGTGGTGATCTCTCGTTCCCGTCTTCTGAGCGGTTTAGGGCTGTTTCTCGTTCCCCTCGCCGCGGTGGATATTTTGGTCAACGATAGGGACACGGGTTGGAGCATGTGATCTTCCTGCAGAAAAGGGGAATTCTCGCCCCTCATTGAGGGGCGTGTGTGTGCGGAGTGACAGAATGCCCTGTCACCACTCTTTCGGTTTTCCAGCAGGGGCGTGTGGCACTCTCATCCTACCACACGCAATGAAGCTGTGGGTGAGAGTGGGAAGCAAGGCCTGATCAGCCTTGTGTACCTGCACCTTTTGAGTGATTCTGAAAGTCCTTTTGGCCCTCTTCTTTGCCGCTGTGTGTGCTTCATGTTGAACCCTGTAACGGTTTCGTCTCTAGAGGGAAATCACGTGACGGCAAGCCGAACTTTCTTTTACTCGAGACTCATCGGTTGTACTCGAGACTCATCAGTTGTACTCGAAACTCATCAGTTGTACTCGAAAGATTAGCACTCTCCATCTGGAGTTCAAGTGTGTGACAGCAGTACTGGCCCAACGCTGCCTCGCAATGACGAGTGTTTTGTTGTTTACCCTGGCCCAACTTTTTGAGTAGCTGTGGGAATAGAAGGTTCTCTCAGGGTCCAATTAAGGGGGGCAGCTTCTGCCTCAGCCAGGCACTTGAGCCTCATTTTGGGATGGTGTTAGCTTCCACAGGAAGCCCTCAACTTCTCTTATCTTCGACCCTCCACACGTGTTGTCAACTTTTGATTTTGGAAGTCCAGCAATCCCTGGACCCACCCACCGCAAAATCGAAAGGAGGTGCATTTCCTATTCTGGGACGCACCCATTGGGCGATTGCCAGGTTCCCCGACCCTGAACCCCGAAACTAGTTTAAGAATTCGTCAAGATCCATCGTCCCGAAAATCAGAAATCCTCTCGGAGGTGCTCCAGGAGGGCAAGCAAGGCACGGTGCGCATGGCGAAACAGGAGGGCAAGGAGCCTTGGGAAGGCAATCGGTTGAGGGGTTCCAGGGAATGTTGGGATGGATTTGGGCAAAGTCTTGTGACCGAGGGGACTTGGTTTGTCACCTTATTGTTAACCCCAAGGCTTGTGTTTTATATTTACGTGTATCACATTTTTGGGGGGTCCCTCCAACATGTCCTCAGTGAAGAATGCCTTGGAACAACAGAATCCCTGCTACATCGGGTCTCCTCCTAACAAACGGGTGGCAGGTTAGTCAACCAGACATGAACCTATCATGAGATTTTGCGCAAATCCATCTAGCGCCCCCACACAAAAGTGTTTTTGCGGCTGATCTCTCCCTTGATGAAGGCCGCCTCGTTGGGGGGTCCTCGACTTTTCAAGTTGGTGAAGTATTCTAATCTACAATCTACCCAGATGTACGGGGAGGGGGTGTGCTATTTTTTCGTCGAGCAAAATCATGTTTTGCCGAGGGAGGGGGGAGGGGATGATTTGCAGGGCTGCAAAGTGTTGCACTGAGTCACTAGGATCCTCCCAGCCCAAGCCTATGCTCTATGGCCCCGCTTGCGGAGTCCTGGCGTGTTCGGGCGGGTGCGTTGACATCTTGGTTTCTGGTATACCTTTTCTTTCGGGGGTTCTGGGCAGAGGAAAGCCAAGAGCAAACCAAAGGTAGCAAACCAAAAGCCAACCAAGAGCAAGACCAAGGCAAACCAAAGGAACACCAAAGGCAAACAAAAACGAACCAAAATCAAACCAAAAGCAAGCCAAAAGCAAACCAAAGGCGAACCAAACGAACACCAAAGGAAAACCCAAAGGCAACCAAAGGTAGACCTAAGATAAACCAAAAGCAACCAAAAAGCGAACCAGAAGCAGACCAAAGGCAAACCAGCTGCCAACCCAAGGCAAGTCAAAGGTAACCAAAGGCAAACCAAAGGCAAACCAAAGGCAAACCAAAGGCAAACCAAAGGCAAACCAAAGGCACACCTAAGGCAAACCAAAAGCAAATCAAAAGCAAGCCAAAAGCAATCCAAAGGCAAACCAGAGGTAAACAAGCCAACCGAAACCAAGCGAAGTCCAACATGGTTGGCTCAGGATATATCAAATACGGATCACACCATCCTCATTGAAAACTACACACACACAGACACACACACACAGACACAGACACAGACACAGACACAGACACAGACACAGACACAGACACAGACACAGACACAGACACAGACACAGACACAGACACAGACACAGACACAGACACAGACACAGACACAGACACAGACACAGACACAGACACAGACACAGACACAGACACAGACACAGACACAGACACAGACACAGACACAGACACAGACACAGACACAGACACAGACACAGACACAGACACAGACACAGACACAGACACAGACACAGACACAGACACAGACACAGACACAGACACAGACACAGACACAGACACAGACACAGACACAGACACAGACACAGACACAGACACAGACACAGACACAGACACAGACACAGACACAGACACAGACACAGACACAGACACAGACACAGACACAGACACAGACACAGACACAGACACAGACACAGAAACAGACACAGACACAGAAACAGACACAGACACAGACACAGACACAGACACAGACACAGACACAGACACAGACACAGACACAGACACAGACACAGACACAGACACAGAACACAGACACAGACACAGACACAGACACAGACACAGACACAGACACAGACACAGACACAGACACAGACACAGACACAGAACACAGACACAGACACAGACACAGAACACAGACACAGACACAGACACAGACACAGACACAGACACAGACACAGACACAGACACAGACACAGACACAGACACAGACACAGACACAGACACAGACACAGACACAGACACAGACACCACAGACACAGACACAGACACAGACACAGACACAGACACAGACACAGACACAGACACAGACACAGACACAGACACAGACACAGACACAGACACAGACACAGACACAGACACAGACACAGCCACAGACACAGACACAGACACAGACACAGACACAGACACAGACACAGACACAGACACAGACACAGACAGAGACAGAGACAGAGACAGAGACAGAGACAGAGACAGAGACAGAGACAGAGACAGAGACAGAGACAGAGACAGAGACAGAGACAGAGACATAGACAGAGACAGAGACAGAGACAGAGACAGAGACAGAGACAGAGACAGAGACAGAGACAGAGACAAAGACAGAGACAGAGACAGAGACAGAGACAGAGACAGAGACAGAGACAGAGACAGAGACAGAGACAGAGACAGAGACAGAGACAGAGACAGAGACAGACACACAGACAGACACACAGACAGACACACAGACAGACACACAGACAGACACACAGACACACAGACACACAGACACACAGACACACAGACACACAGACACACAGACACACAGACACACAGACAATCAGACACACAGACACACAGACACACAGACACACAGACACACAGACACACAGACACACAGACACACAGACACACAGACACACAGACACACAGACACACAGACACACAGACACACAACACACAGACACACAGACACACAGACACACAGACACACAGACACACAGACACACAGACACACAGACACACAGACACACATACACACAGACACACAGACACTCAGACACACAGACACACAGACACACAGACACACAGACACACAGACACACAGACACACAGACACACAGACACACAGACACACAGACACACAGACACACAGACACACAGACACACAGACACACACACACACAACACACAGACACACAGACACACAGACACACAGACACAGAGACACAGAGACACACAGACACACACACACAGACACACAGACACACAGACACACAAGACACACACAACACACACAACACACAGACACACAGACACACAGACACACAGACACACAGACACACACACACACAGACACAGACACACAGACACACAGACACACAGACACACAGACACACAGACACACAGACACACAGACACACAGACACACAGACACACAGATACACAGACACACAGACACACAGACACACAGACACACAGACACACAGACACACAGACACACAGACACACAGACACACAGACACACAGACACACAGACACACAGACACACAGACACACAGACACACAGACACACAGACACACAGACCCACAGACACACAGACACACAGACCCACAGACACACAGACACACAGACACACAGACACATAGACACACAGACACACAAACACACAGACACACAGACACACAG